TAACAGCAATCTTAAATCAAATAATGTCATCAAAAACTAAAACTTTTTACCAATTAAATTTAAAATAATTTAAACTTAATTTTATTTAATATTAAACCAGATCATCACGGCTTTCCTTGGATCTAAATATGATGCCGTTTTTTCTCCGAAATGCTCAACAAAAAATTTACCCCAAAAATGGGTCATTTTGGCTTTTTTCAATTAATCAAGAATTACGCTGAAACTATTTTGTTAATTGATAAGAAAATTATATCACAGTAAGCCCCTCACGCAGCTCAACAAAATTTAAGGAGGGTTAAATCTCCAAAAACCAGTATAAGAGAAAACAATTTCACTTGATAGTCAATAAATGTGATTTTTACTATATAAAACCCAGAATCTGTTTAAAAATAAATTTTAAACAATTTGCGCAAAGTTTTGGATATTTAACCCTCCTTAAATTTTGTTGAGCTGCGTAAGGGGCTTCCTGTGATATAATGTTCTTATCAATTAACAAAATAGTTTCAGTGTAATTCTTGATTAATTGAAAAAAGACAAAATGATCCATTTTTGGGGTAAATTTTTTTTTTGAGAATTTCGGACAAAAAATGGCACCATATTATTTCTGGTGAAATTCTAAGCAACTTTTTGTTCTCTTTGTTCTCTTCACTTTTTGCCTAATCTTAACCCAATTTGAAAAAAACGCGTTTGAAAATTTAAGTTTTGTTCATTTTGTCCGGATAATTTAAATCAGCACTGTATTGTGGGGCAAAATTGTACGGTTGATCCCATTTTTGAAATCTTCTGTTTCGGGTATCATTAAAAGCAATTTCAGGTATCATAAAATGTGGGGTGATTACAATAAGAGGCAAGTTCAAGTTAAATAGCTGGATCGCGCTCCTTGTTATGTTTCGAACAGTATTTATCATTTGTTTCAAAAGTCAATTTTTTGGCACAAGACGTGCAAAGCTTGCTGAGTTTTTGAATAAAATTATACGTGGCAGGGTAATTTGTTTACAAAACTTTCTTAGCTGCAAGTACAATTAACTGAAAACAAAGTGACTATATTATGCATAATAGTTCTCAAATTAATACATGCACTCAAAATTACCACCTATTGTAACATAAGTTTTGGCGGTAAAGAGAAAGACCCTCTGAAATAGTTGCAAAGACTCGACTTTTTTTAATCAAAATTTTCCAAAAAGTGCCGAAAAACGCCTTTTTTGGCCTGTTTTTCAAAAATTTCGCCTGAAATTTCGGCCAAAACAGGGTCTTTTTAGTGCTTTAGGAGAGCTCGGAAAATCAATAGAATCCTTTTTTTTTCTTGATAAAGCGACCAAAAATCAACCCATTAAAACCAGCATGGGCGGATTAAGGGGGGGGTGGGGGTGCTCGGTAGGAGGGGGTAATTTTTCCACTCCAATTATTCGACTTCTTCACCGCCGAAAGGTCCCCCTTTGGTACTATTTCACGACCCCTTTTCTGGCCGACCGAGCCTGAGAGTTTTCTAAGCCGCCCTTGGCGCCCAAATCTACCAAGCCTGAGGAGAGAGCGCGTGGCAAAAAACGCTTTTTGGGAAAAAAATTTCAAATTTACTTAAAAAATCTTTCTGCAATCAGTTCTTGGATAACATCACAGGAGCGTGGAAATTGAAAAAAGGCGGAAACTCCCCAGTCCTACCTGAATGCATAGAGTTAAAATCAAACGGTTATCGTGGTGTGCATATATGATATGTTTAAACAACAAAATTATACTCAAACTAGTTTGCAGACTCATCAGCCTGAGCGTTCTAGTCTCTTTTGTTTCCATGCTTCAAATAGGAATAATTAGGCTAGTTTGCATTCATCTGGAGAAACTTAAGATTAATTTGCCCCTAAAAAGCAACCTTCAATTTTTTCAGTGATTACTATAGTTTTCGCATTTGTTGGCATTTGATTCATCATACTATCTAGCTGTTAGCGTTTTTGATTTTAGACTCTGAATGAGACTAAAAATTTTTTTAGCGTTGTTCCAGAGAAAAAAAGTGTAAGTAAAAAAAAATTTTCAAACTGATTTTCAGAGCAAACTTAATTTTTTTTCAATAATTTCAAGCATAAAAACTTTTATGTCTAATGTTTTCCCGAAAAACTTGCTTCTATCTTCATTTAATCTACGAGGTTGTAACTTATTTTACAATTGACCTGACCCTCTTTATCAAGTTGCGCAAAGAATGGTTATGTTATTATTTATGTTTCCGGTCATCGCCGCGTAATATGATTAATCCGAAACACATCAGTGAAAACAATATAGGAACGCTACTAACTGAACAAAGAAAAAAATAAAAAGACTGTTCCGTTAAAAAACTTCAAAATGTTTGTTACTAGAGTGAAAAATTAAAATTCGGTACGAATAGGCAACTGTAAATCGCTGAAATTGATCCCTAAAAGCTGCTCGCTTGCTTTATTTGCTCGACCAAAAATCACAAATTGTACGGCTGAAAGGGCT